CTCTCCTGTCCACCCCTCCTCCTCAGCAGACTGCCCTCCCCATCCCAATGCTGGCTCATAGACATTCCGAGCAGATGAGCTCCTGCTTCTCTGCAGATGGATCCCTCCTCTGAAGGCTGATTCTGACATTTGATACCAGCATCCATTTCACAACCTTGCTTCTGATCCCCACAGGCCGCCTCAGCTTTGCCCACAAATAATCCTGCAGCCCGTCCTGCCCACTGTTGTTGGTCTCTTTGTTGCTGGTCTCTGGCATGTTTTCCTAATCGTCACCTCTGCTTGCTCCCCTTCACCACCACCACCACTCTGAGAGGTTTAGAGGGCCCTAGGCCTCCCTGCATTTGTCCGGATTCCAGCCTACAAGACAGAGCCCCCTGCCCTGGCTATGCACTAATTACACACAGTCATCCCATTCCCCTCTCCCTCCCAACCTGGGGCTTAAGCCGCCTTTTGTTTGGCTGTTAGAATAATGTATTAAGTGACAGTTCTCAGAATACAATTTTAATTAAGATTCAATAGTCACTTCTCTGTCAGTAATCTTCTGTGCTGATTACTTAAAATATATTTACCCAGCTCTATTATATCACAGATTGGAATTCATTAGACGTTTGTTAATCCTCAACAAACTTTTTTTTTTATATAAACGTGGTTTGTTTAGCATAATTTACAAGGACAGAACTGTTTGAAACAATGGGTCCTGTGCCTCCAGGGCATCATGGTATGAGTCCCAGAGCAGCCAGGTGTCCCCTGCTGCCACCATTGCTGCTGCATTCTACCAGAGGGCCGGTGACAGAGCCAAGAAATAGACAGGCCCAAAGGATGACGTGGGCAGTCCATCCGTGTTGAACCAATGCCGTGCAGACGAGCCAGCCTCCCAGGACACAGAGCGTGGTGGTAGAGGGCAGAGAGAGCACTTGGAGGGACAAATGGAAGATATTCTATCCAGCACAGCCATGAATAGCCTTGGCCATGGACCCAGGTACACCTGACAAAGGTCATTTTTGGTGTGCCGTGACCTGGACATGCTGGGAAGTGCTGTTTGGCCTTGGAACACTGCATCATCTGCCATGTTTGGTTATAACATGGCTGAGTTCAAATAAAGTTTTAAGGAGGACAGCCTTTCTCAGGAATTACAGAACACTAACTCCCCATCATCTCTCACACATGTACTGGCACCTGCTGCTTAAGGAGCAAAGAGCTTTCTGGACTGTGGTTGTCCCTGTGTTCACAGTGCGTACAAAAGAGACCACTCAACTGTACCTGCACAGATGCAGTAGCTAGAGAAACAGTGCCTCTTTCCTCTGCAACCACAATGAGTCTTGCAGATGTGTGGCTGAAAAGCCTGAGTGCCCAGTGCAGGTGGAGACCACTCCCAGTTGCTCTACTAGACTCCACCAAAGTGGGAACCCAAAAAGCCAGAGCACGATCACTGTCAGAGAAAGGTGGCAGGTGGAAGCTTCTGTGTACGGACACCTGTGGGATGGATATGCCTGGTGGGACCTGGGTTAGTGTGGACTGGTCCACCTCAGGCAGGAGTTTAGTGAAAACACGGACTGGCAGGGTAGCCGGTTGCTCATGGGGAGCCTAGAGCAGAAGTATGTGGAACTGGACACTTTGGTAAAAGCCTTCGATGAGAATGCCCATAATGAAGAGGAAAAGAAAAAGGATTCCTCGAGAACAAAGGTCAGCAATTTTTATTCTGTGAAAGACAAGACAGGAAATATTTCATGCTTTGCTGGCCACATGTTATCTGCTGCAACTACTCACTGCTACCATTGTGGCAGAAAAGAAGCCATCGACAATACATAAATGAATGGGCATGGCAGCATTTGAATAAAACTTTCTTTACAAAAGCAGGTGGCAGCCTCTATTTGGCCGGTGTGCTATAGTTCACAGGCACTGTCCTATATGGTAGCCAATAACCACATATGGCTAATGAGCATTTGAAATATGCTCTGAGTAGAAAACACACCAGATTTTGAACACTTTGTACAAATCAAAGAATGTTAAATATCCAATTAATAATAGTATTGATGACATATTGAGATAATATTTTGGGTACATAAAATATGCCCGCGTGATTAATTTTACCTGTTCTTTTTTCTTCCTGTTTTCCTTTTGAAGAGAGATTTTTGCTATAGGGCATGTGTGCTCACCAAGAAGACAGAGACAGAGAGACAGAAAGCAAGAAATCACCCTCCAGGGGGGATGGCCATCCTGCAATCCCTTCTCCTCCATCCTTTTCTTGGGATTTTGGGCACACATGCACATGTGCCCGGCATGAGGTTTAAGCCACAGGGCCCAGGACTCTAACTGTAGTCGACTTATGGAAATCCAGTGATGCAACCATTACACCATCTGCTAGTCCTGCTTTTGCTTTAAATTTATTTTTAATTCATGGTTGAGTACACATGCATTCACATGAGAATAGTAGAGAGAGATAAAAAAAATATGAGTAAACCTCACAAGTTCTGGGCATGTGGTCCCCATCCCCTAGTCCTCTACACTACTGGGTCCAGCTTTTCTTGCATAGCCCATTACCACTGCATCATGAAGCCAGCCCAATTCAGTCATTTCATTTTACTCTTTTAAAAATATGGCCACTAGAAAATTTAAAATGACAAATATGGCTGTTGTTATTTCTACTAAGTAGTGCTTCTCTCAAATAGCACTCTTTCTAGGTAAAATACAGGAAAGTCTCTGGTCCTTATAGGGTCTCAGGTGGAGGATTGACCCTTAAAGAGACACGATACTTCGGGACCAGCAGTTGGCGTAATGGCTATGTCACTGAACTTCCATGTAGTCAAGTGTGGTTCAAGCCCTGGACACAGTGGCTTAAACTCACACTGGGTGCGTGTGCGTGCATGCCCAAGATCTCGAGAGGAGCATGGAGGAGAAGGGATTGTGGCATGGCCATCCCCCCTGAGGTATGATTTCTCACTTCCTGTCTCTCTGTCTCTCTGTCTTCCTGGCAAGTGCAAGTGCTCTTATAGCAAAAATCTCTCAAAAAAAAAAAAAAAGAGAGAGAGAGAGACAAAATAATGGATGTCAAATTTGCATAACCAAGTATATGATCAGAATAGGTTTTTTATATTTAATATATATGCATGAGTGTGTGTGTATATATATATATATATATTAATTAGCCAATTATTTTGTCTGCATTTGTGCTCCTCAAATCTATGAAGCTCTGCTTTCTCAAGATATTAATAATGGTTATTCAGAGAAGAAGGGGTATCTTTATGGAATAAAAAGTGGGAATAATGTAAAATAAGACACTAACCCAGTATCTTTACTGCAGCAGAATTTCTCCTGAACTTGCTAATGTGTACAGAGCTTTTGCAAGAACAAGCAAAAGTAGACAGTGCTTCCTCAACTTATTGGCCTTAGAAAACTTTTTTTAGAATCCTAATTAGCACTCCTAGAAGGCAATTTAAGAAATGCTGGTTTTCATGATGCTACAACCAGTATGCATGATTTTCCAGAAGTCTAACTCAATTGGTTGTTTTTAGCACTACAGAAATGGGGCCATGTTTAGTACAATGTGGAAAGTGAGAAAACTAGGATCTGGAGACACAAAAACCTGAGCCAAGTTCCTGTCCCTTTCTTCCCTCAGTACTCATGCATGTGAAAGTCCCTACTGCATGTCCTGCAATGCTTTAGGTCTTGGACATAGAGTGGTGAGTGAAGACAAGTCCTTCCTCCTGAGCCTTTGCTCCTGGTGCCGAAGACAAATGATAAACCAGACAAGTAGGTAAAATACAGGGAATATGTCAGTGATATGTTTAAAGAGAAAATACTAAACAAGGAAGAGAGCTATGCAGAGTGGTGGATGATAGGAGAGAGGTGTCAGGAGAGGTCTTGGTGAATATGAATTTTTTTCAGTTTTTATTATAGGCATGATGTCGCTAGAGAGATAGAAACAGAGACAGAGAGAGGGAAAATGAGACATCACATGTGCACCCCTTCCCCAGGAGGCATGGCCACACCACAATCCCTTCTCTTCCATTTTCCTCTCTGGATTTTTGAGCTCACATGCACATGTGCCTGGTGTGAGTTTCAAATCACTGGATCCAGGACTCAAACCAAAGTCAGTCATGTGAGAATCCAGCACCTTAACCACCATGCCACCTGCTGGCCCTGAGAACGTGACTTTTGAGTGAAGACCCAAAAGAGTCTATGAGGTCATGGACAAGCCCTCACCTAGATAAGTACATGTGAAGGGCGTTCCTAAAGCCTCAAATAGAAAAGTATATGAAGGTCCAGAGAGAGGACCCAGCACATATGAAGTGCTCAGAAGCTCATTCCTTTGCCTCTAGTTCCACCCTTTTCTTCCCTTCCTTGACCTCTCAAAGATTCTTGAATCATACGGGTTCTCCTAGGTGAAAAATGCATCAAAAGCCAGTTCTCTAGTCACACTGACATGTCTCTGGGCTACGTCTCTTCTTGTCCACGTCTTTGTTCATAAGAAATCATGGTCTGATTTAATTTCGTGCTGAACCTGAACCAATTAGAAGGTAAAACTGCACTTCCAAATACAGCTATAGCGTTTTTGTTTTTCAAACTCTACAATTATTGCATGAACCACTGGTATGCTATCACCCATCCATTCAACATATATCTATGGTGCTCCTCCTGTATTCTAGGCACTTTGCTAGATGCTTGCCATATAGCAGTTAAGTAAACAGATAAAAGTACCTGCCCTCATGAAGCTGACCTTCTCGAGGGAAGGAGAGGAGATAGCCAGTAAATAAATAACTGAGTAAATTAAGTAGTATGTTTTAAGTAGTGTGTTATGTGGTGATAAGGACGAAGGAAAAAGAACTGAATTAGAGGGATTGTAGATGAGATTAGCCCTAGCATGAGCACCGCCATTCTCTGCTGCTCCCTGAGGCAGTGGGTTCATGTGAGGGAGGAAGCTCTGGGTGAGGGCAGAAGTTACCTCCAGAACCTGACCTTGTGTCCCTCCCTTCCAGGCACCACAGCCTGAGTGACCAGACCATGGAGACCCTGCTTGGCGGCCTGCTGGCGTTTGGCATGGCGTTTGCTGTGGTTGACGCCTGTCCCAAGTACTGTGTCTGCCAGAACCTGTCTGAGTCACTGGGTACCCTGTGCCCCTCTAAGGGACTGCTCTTCGTGCCCCCTGACATCGACCGGCGGACAGTGGAGCTTCGTCTGGGTGGCAACTTCATCATCCACATTGGCCGCCAGGACTTTGCCAACATGACAGGGTTGGTGGACCTGACCCTGTCCAGGAACACCATCAGCCACATCCAGCCCTTCTCCTTCCTGGACCTCGAGAGTCTCCGCTCCCTGCACCTCGACAGCAACCGTCTGCCCAGCCTCGGGGAGGACACGCTCCGGGGACTGGTCAACCTGCAGCACCTCATTGTGAACAACAATCAGCTGGGCGGCATCGCCGACGAGGCCTTCGAGGACTTCCTGCTCACGCTGGAGGACCTGGACCTGTCCTACAACAACCTCCATGGCCTGCCCTGGGACTCGGTGCGACGCATGGTCAACCTCCACCAACTGAGCCTGGACCACAACCTGCTGGACCACATCGCCGAGGGCACCTTTGCCGACCTGCAGAAGCTGGCCCGCCTGGACCTCACCTCCAACCGGCTGCAGAAGCTGCCCCCAGACCCCATCTTTGCCCGCTCCCAGGCCTCTGCTCTGACGGCCACACCTTTTGCCCCACCTTTGTCCTTTAGTTTTGGGGGGAACCCACTGCATTGCAATTGTGAGCTTCTTTGGCTGCGGAGGCTGGAGCGGGATGATGACCTGGAGACCTGTGGGTCCCCCGGGGGCCTCAAGGGTCGCTACTTCTGGCACGTGCGTGAGGAGGAGTTTGTGTGCGAGCCGCCTCTCATCACCCAGCACACACACAAGCTGCTGGTTCTAGAGGGCCAGGCGGCCACGCTCAAGTGCAAGGCCATCGGGGATCCCAGCCCCCTTATCCACTGGGTAGCCCCCGATGACCGCCTGGTGGGGAACTCCTCGAGGACCGCTGTGTATGACAATGGCACCCTGGATATCCTCATCACCACCTCTCAGGACAGCGGTGCCTTCACCTGTATTGCTGCCAATGCTGCCGGAGAGGCCACTGCCACGGTGGAGGTCACCATTGTCCAGCTGCCACACCTGAGCAACAGCACCAGCCGCACTGCGCCCCCCAAGTCCCGCCTCTCAGACATCACTGGCTCCAGCAAGACCAGTCGGGGAGGAGGAGCCAGCGGGGGTGCAGAACCTCCCAAAAGCCCCCCTGAACGGGCAGTGCTTGTATCAGAAGTGACCACTACCTCGGCCCTGGTCAAGTGGTCCGTCAGCAAGTCAGCACCCCGGGTGAAGATGTACCAGCTACAGTACAACTGCTCCGACGATGAGGTACTGATTTACAGGTGAGCTAGTGGCGGGGGGCCAGGCCGGGGGGGGGGGGGGGGGGGGAAGGAAATGATGGGGAGGTTTGTACCCTCCTCCCCAAAAATGTCTGTGGGAGGGAGTCCAAGGAGAACAGCACCACTCATGCAGATAAGAGGAGACAGGAAAAAGATCGCCTACCGGCTGAAGAAGGAAAGTGCGCACACATGAGCATCCTGAAGAGCTGTGCGTGGAAGACCATGCCTCCCAGGTGGGCGCGAGTCTCCCAACTTTCTGTCTCAAGCCCAGCTAGAGGACATACAAGAACAAATAGACCTCTTGGCCAAAGGATCTTACTTCTCCAAGGCCAAGGAGTGCATCTGACTTTCACCCAGACTCTAATGAAGTCACGGTTAAGCTTTTCAGGTCAGAAAGAGTTGGATTCAAATCATGGCTGTGCCACTTGCTAGTCATTTAATTCTTCTGATCTGTTGTAGTTTCTTCATCTGTAAAATGGGAATACCCCATATCTGACTTAGTTTGGACACTTGGGTGCAGGTAGTAGAATCAAACTAGCTTTTTTTTAAAAAAAAAAAAAAGAAAAAAGAAAGAAAGAGAGAAGAGAGGAACAATGTGCTAGCTCATGGAATCAGAAAGTTAGAATGCTGTTGAAAGCTCACTAGATCAAAGGCCCCCACCAACAGGTTCTGCATTCTCAGCATCTCACCTCTGCTAAGTTCCATTTTCCTCTGAGTTGTCTTTACTTTAGCACTTTGTCCTTCTGGGAGACTCTGCCAGGTTCCCAAAGCAGCCCAAGAGGGAGGAGAGGGTCCCTTTCCCAACTGAGCTCTGACTGAGTCAGACCAGCTCATTGAGTCCCCTGGGTCTTTAAGATGGGGTCACTCCGCCCACCTGTGTGTGCTGACACCCCAAACTTCAGTGTCTTCATGTGGATGTGGAGACAATAATGTTGGCCTTAGGAAGTTGCTGTGATCAAGGTGTCATTTCCAAGGCATGGCAGAAAGGGAGGAACAAGTGGAAAGCTGCCACAGAACTGTGGAAGTGGTTCTGGAGGAGGTCACAGAGTGATTGACAGAGGCCAGGGGCCAGAATATTGACTAAGTATTGAGTTCCCTTTCTTCCGGATCCCATATCGCTGACTGCATGGTTCAAGTACCTGATTCAGTGACTTGGAAAATAAAGTGGGTGCATGTGTGCCCAACATCCCAACAGGAGAATGGAGGAGAAGGGATTGTAGATTGCAACCTGGAGCAGGGCGTGCCTTCTCTTTTTCCCATTCTCTCTCTGTCTTTCTCTGGCCAGTATACATACCCTATAGCAAATTGAAAACAACAACACAAACCTTTTCTGTCCTGAATCCCTGAGTTCCTGAGTCTCTGGATGGAAGCTGTGGGAAAGGAGCATATGAGGAAGTACAGAGTCCATATGATCAAGGGTGGGCATGCCATCAAGACTGTAGTGGAGCCAGGGAACTCCTCTTACCCAGCATTGGCTGGGCTCATCGGGAGAGCAGTTTCATATCTCAGGATGGAGAGGGCAGTACTACAGCTTAATTTAAATGCATGCATATAGACACATACAGAAATATATACAGAGAAACAAACTTAAAGATGCATATATGTATCTTTCTAATTATAAAAGTCATAGTCTGTATGAATTTGGAAGGTAAAGAAAATTAAAGAGGGAAATAAAAATGACCTGCAATTCCACCATCCAAAATTAACCAGAGGCATTTGGAAAGTATGTCTCAGTTTGTATTAATTCAGAATGATATTTATTATTGAGCTAGCCTATACTTTTGTATCTTAATTCTTTCTACTCAAAATTACAGCTTTCTTAGTCCCCATGGTAGTAAAATATTTTTCATTTGGCTGTACCATAATTTATTTAACAAACCTTTTATTGTTGGACATTTTGGTTGTTTCCCATTATTCAGTATTAAAAGTAACACAGTGATGGATATTTTTGTACATAAATATGTTGGTGCAAGTTCAATGATTTCCTCAGTGTATTTTACTAGGAGTTGAATTGCTGATGTAAAGGGTAAATTATAATCTATGTTACATGTAAATATTGACTTACACTCACCAGTGGAAGGGGACAGCAGTGCTTAATGACCACACCTTTTCCAGAATTAAATATATAATTACTTTCGGCTTTGCCAATTTGAGAAGTGAAAAATGGAACTTGTTTTAATTTGCATTTCTTTGATAACTTGTGAGGTTGACCTTTTGAAAGTAAGTATATTTCTTCACTTGTTAATTTATTATATGCCCTTGACTTTGATAGAAAGGCTAAAACCTACCAGCTCTGAGGCTTGCACCAGCATAGGGTGAAGGGAGATGCAGCTTGTGAGAGGGAGGGAAGATGCCACATCAAGTGGGCAACATGCCCAAGTTACCAAAATGGCACCCCTTCCTGGGGGGGGGGTCCTCAGAAATACGAGGTAAGAGCAGGGCTTGAAGTACACCTGCGTCTCTCAAGGTGGGAATTCTAATTGCTTTTATTTGGTGATCGAGAACTTAGGTATAGTAGGTTGATAAATATAATATAAAAGGAAGTATCAGAAATCTTGGAATGAAAAACTGCAGGTAACAATAGTGACTTCTTCTTAGGACTGGTCAGGAAGATGAGAAAAGATACAGTCCTCCAGCCCTGTGGGCTGCAGCAAGCACCCGAGGAATACTGAGTACCATCATCAGTAGTAGCAGTCATGGCAGTAACAGTTTATAGTAATATCATTATCTTGTCTGCCATCTTAGAGAAGGAAATGAATGAGGAGGGTTAGGAAAACAATTCAGTCTTTTCTTTAAGACAGATTTCCAGGCCCAGCCGCAGTGTAGAGTGGTAGCACAAGTGCCCTGCAAAGCTGGAAGCCATATAGCTTCTGTGGGCTCAGATCTGCAGGCCAGTCTGAAAACATTCCAGTTATGCATGCAGGTGGCCTGGCTCCTGAGGAACTTCAGAGCTGGGGAAAGGAGGTCACAGTGTAATGAGACCTGGTTGAGGGTACTCCTCTCTCTCTTGTTCTCATGTGTGTACATGTGTTCTCTATAAAAAAAAAAAAAAATCCAAAATTCTAGAGAAAAAGGGAAGCATGAGTCTGTAGCCAAATAATAGTCATAACGATCACTAGTCAGCATTACTGCAAGTTTACTGTGTGTTTGATGCCTAGCTTTACGGATAGTATCTCATTTAATCTGACTGGATATACCAGGAAGTATAAAAGGCCAAGATCATTGGAAAAAACTCTCCCGAGTTAACACAGCCAGAGAATGAGGGCTGTAATTTGTAGCCAGAGGGGTTGAGCCATAATCCCCAAAGAAAATCCCAAATACCATATTCCCAAATGTTGAAAGTTCTCTCTTTTTAAAATTATTATTATTTATATTCAATAGCTATACATCATTTAGATTGTAAAGAGATTTTACCCCGCATGATACATATCTCAGTCCAGTTGAGAATACTATATACACCCTCATCAACAGCTAACAAACTATATCTGTGTCCCACAAATATCTTACCTCTTTATTTTTTTCCCCTAATTTATTTTTCCTGCACTCTTCCCCTCCCACACTCTCCTTCCATTTTGTCTGTAGTGTCCATAACAATTTTTTTTTTTTGGAGAAGTTTTTGCTATAGGGTGCGTGCACTCGCCAGACAGACAAAGAGAGATAGAGAGACAGAAAGTGAGAAATCACCCCCCAGGGGGATGGCCACGCCACAATCCCTTCTCCTCCATTCTCCTCTTGGGATCTTGGGCATGCACACACATGTGCCTGGCGTCAGTTTTAAGCCACTGGGTCTGGGACGAGAACCACATTTGACTACATGGGAGTCCAGCGACATAGCCATTACGCTAACTGCTGGTCCCTCATAACAATTTTTAATGCTTTTATGTCCTCCAGTCTTTCAGTCTCCACCACAGAGTGTGGACAGTCTGTATATGTTAAGTGGAGATAGCAAATGTTGAACTCTCTTAAGATCAATATCCCTAAAGTCTAAAACCCAAAAGATCAAAATAACAAAAATATTATTCTGAAGAAAGTAATTTAAAATGTTCTTAAAAGACATTTATTGGGGTCAGCCAGTGGTGTGGTGGTGGAGGTGGTAGGATCCCACATGGCTTATGGTGCAGTTCAAGTCTTGAACCCAGAGGTTTGAAAAACATATTGCTCACATGTGTATGCCCAGACATCTTGAATGGGGAGTGAAGGGGAAGGGATTGTGGTGTGGCTATCCCCCTGAGAGGTGCTTTCTCATTCCCTCCAAACCTCTCCCCACTGCCCCATCCCTCTTTAGCACGTGCCCTATAACAATTTTTTTTTTAAAAGAGGCATTTACTAGTATTTCATGTTGGGTAAATTATCTTTACAAGCCAAATGATATATAGTGATTGAATGTTTAAAAAAATAAAAATGAGAATAAATAACAATAAGATGAAAAAAATGAAAAACTATTTGATAATGATGATGTGGATAGTAATGTCTTTGTCTTGACTGATATGCATGGCAATCGTGCTGGAAAAAGCAATGTTGTACACTGTAAATTAAATGTAATATAAAAAATTAAAAATAAATAAATAAGAGACATTTACTTACATTTTTATAAGGATATTTACCTGAGAAACATAAAAATACAACGGAACACTTTATAGGCCACTTGGCACAATAAAATAGGCAATAATAATAATATATATCGATTTCTAAGCACAAACACTGAGGTATGCTAAGGACAATTGCAAGGGTAAAGCAGTTATGAGCAGATAAACTGGATTCATAAAGAAATAGGTCAAAAAGCAAAATGTATAAATATCATTATGATTGGTGATTGTGTGCACCCAGCTTTGAAAGTGCAGTTATTTGAAATATTTTGATGGACAAACTAAGTCTTGAAGAAATTGATCAAAAACCATGCCACATCTTTAGAACGTGGGGTTGGTACTCCCAGAACTGGGATGAATTCCTGCTTCACTTACTAGCTATAAGGGACTTTATGCATTTAAACCTGTTTCTTCATC